GAATATTTTACGAGATATTTTGTATTCTATGTCAAAGTGCTGGAAATTTCAAGTGTTATTACTCGAAAAGTTCTTAACAAAAAAATATTTTATTATAGCGTTTTGGAAAGCTTTCGAGATGTGCTATAAGAATATGCAATGAAAAATGGGGTGTTCCATTTAAAAAAATTAATGTGACCTTGACCTGACCTTCGCTACGCAACCCAAGGTCAAATTGATGTGATCAGTAAATACATCTTTTTAAACGCCACAACTTTTGTCTGAAACATTTTTTTGTAAAACTTATATTTTTTTATTCGGGCGTCCCGGTACTTTCCGAACACCGTGTATATATATATATATATATATATATATATATATATATATATATATATATATATATATATATATATATAATCATAAATGACCTTTTCTTCGAAAATTTTTCTTTTTTATTTATATTAATAAAAAAGAACTTAAAATTGCATGAATAAAAATGGGTAAACATGTACAAAAATATAAAGCAAGAAAAAAAATTGGAAGGGTAAGACGTTTAACAATATTAAGTCTTGTGCCAGAGATAACAATCAAAATTAGAAATAAAAATCAGCATAAGATAAATAAAATTATGTTAATAATACAGAATTTAATTGCGATGAGAGATAACACATCAGACATTTTTCTATAGTCTGTAGTAATAATATAAATAAAAATTGTCATAATATCTCAGACTCAGAGCACCTGATAAAATAGATACAACTATAAAAATGCATAAAAGAATATATGTCATTTGATTAGGTTGTGAAATATACCAAATAAAAGACGAGAAACATGAGAAAGTATATATTGCGCATCAAAGATTTCCTACGCAATGACAGTTATTAGCATTAAAATTACTTAATTAGAAAACATAAAGAACATAGAAAACATAAAAAATTAAATATTATTAAGGCAAATTTGTCCATTTTATGAATAGCAGACTTGATTATTAATCAATTAAGTAATTTTTTGTTCATTTATTGTTCTATTTTCATTCATTAAATAGGTTAAGTTTTTACGTATCTTTCGTGCGCAGTAACTGCAGGAAAAGCATTACATCTTAAAATTGGGAACCCAAATAGTTTTACTCTTCAGTTACTAAATCAAAATTAACTGTCCAGTAACTGTTAAAATACTGCATTAAATTTCTACCAGAGTTTTCAGCTAAACATATTTGCACAAAACATCTGATTCCTTTGTTGTTATATTAAAAGAAAGCTGACATTAACAGATCTCATAATAACAAACAATTAATTGCCAACAATAAAAGTTTGTTTTACAAATAGGTTGACAAATGTGCTCGAACAGTATAGATAATTTAGTCTATATATATATATATATATATATATATATATATATATATATATATATATATATATATATATATATATATATATA